TCTACGAACGAAATTATTCACAATAAACGCCGAACGCTTTGATTAACACTGTTATACAAACTACCCGAGAGATACTAAGACACATGAACTTGTAAGTGGAGGGTGTGGTTACCATATAATCCGCGTTTTGGGACCGCCCACCGGTAAGAAATACCGGTTCTTTGTAGTTACGGGTTAATAAAATTTTAACAAAATTACACAAATAGTGCTATAGTTTCATCAATTTGGAGCCAACTGTCTCCAAAATGAATTTCAAGCAAATTCTTGATGCCTTTTAACTTTTTTCGACTGACATGTTGTATATTGTTGGCTTCAAGTATGGTAGGATTGATACGAGATACCCTTTCTTTATTTTTGGTTAAGCTTCGAAACACTCCAGTTAAAACGTTAAAATTTGGATCATTCTCTACCAAAACGTCGTGTCGTTTACATTCGACAAGTTTAAAATTCCACTGCATTCCATTTGCTAAAGCTGTAAGTTTGTTATTTCTCTTTTCCCAAATATATTATCAAGAGGGATAATTAAATGCTTTCTTACAGGGAATGATACTTCACTTTATATTCCCTAGAGTTCGCTTGCATAGCCATGTCAAGCATATGGTAAACACAATCCTATTATTATTTTAACAGCCACATCCGTCACACACATAGTCTCACAGAAGTTACCATTGATATATTTGTTTGGCATAAACGGTGACAGATTGCAAAGACTATATTTGGTATTGGTCCTCGGTCCAGCAATAGCTGAACTAGTTCTGAGGCACATGTGCAGCCTTTGAGTATCCCTGAACAACAGTGAGATAACGTAAATAAGATCTGGTCTGGCACTTTAGGTAAGGACAAGTTTTTCTAAAGGTCGAAGGAAAAAGTGATTATGTAGGTATTTTCTTCCTTCAGTAAATAGAATGCCCCGGAGCATAGCTTGTGGATTCTCTTTTGACATATTAAATTAGCATTTTTACTTGCTTCAGATCGTTTAATTTTTTTCTTCAGTGATATACATGTAAAATAGATATCTGTAATATATATATATATATATATATATATATATATATATATATATATATATATATATATATATATGTGTGTGTGTAAAAAAAATAATTGTAAGTCTTTTAAGTTTAGGTAAGCTTTATTTAAATTGCTTACATTTGTAGTTCTAGTTCAGTGTCATTGTCGGAAATATTGGACACACATTAACTGTCCGTTGTTAGCAGGTAAAATTACAAACACCTTTAATCACCTTACAATCTTTACCACCAAAACGTCGTAAAAATGGCCCGTTGTTCAAAAAGTCTTCTTTTTTACCCACATATGAAATATTAGGTGACCTAAAAACTGTCCATTCAGCAGAGGTTTTCGTCTTGGATAGGTGTCCGTTAACAGAAGTTTCACTTTATTTTACCAAAACTGCACGAAGAAATGGACAAACTTCAGCAAAAAGGCAAAGCGGACTCTTAAATCCTTATATATTTTTTCTCTGTTTATACTTCCTTATATACACACTTTTCCCTTGTATATATTTTATATATGTAACTAGTTGCCATTTACAAATTTTTAAAAGAAATTTCTCTGTAAAGTTAGTTCATTTAAAATATGTAATACCACAAATTTTCTTCTCCCATTAGCCTTTTTGGACAGTTTAATGTAAATATCAGGATCGAATTGTTTTCCAATGCCCCTTTGTCCGATTCTTCTCGATCGACAATGGTAAATAAATGGTTGAAATGTGGAGTAAAAATTATAGTTTTATTAACAGCTACTGATAATTACACTCTAGTTGTTGGTTAGGTAACTTTCTACAATAGACTGCGCTCTTCTTCTTACGGTACCCTATTCAATTACTGGATGTTGGCAACAATTCTGGCATACTCCTCTCGATCTTGTGTGGCTCTAAAGAGTGCATGGGCATCGAGATTTGTCTTATTCCTTATGTTTTTAAGCCATGAATATTTCTTTCTTCCGATGCCCCGTTTCCTTCTATCTTCTCTTCCATAATAAGCTTTTAGAACTGGTACTTGGAATTTCAAAATATATGACCGAGATAAGCAGTTTTTGTTATTTTTATTGACAGCTATTCTTGTTCTCTGCACATTCGATTTAATACTTCGAGACTGCGCTCAAATGAGCTTAAATCCCCAATTTATAATTTCACAAATAATGTACACTTAAGTACAGAGGTTAATGCTTCTATCATACTAACAAACTTTAAACTATAAACTTACAATACAATTTAATCTATAAGTCTACAAATTATAATCATAGTCCGTTATTGCGGAAGTTCAGTTGGAAAATATATTATTTGGCAATTTATATGGCAGGTTTGCAGGTGAATGGACTCTAAATATTAAAATATTACAAGATATGTTTCACTATGTTTCAATTATACACGCAAAACTATAAAATCTTAAAAAGTTCAGAATAATGTGAAATTACAAATTAGGGGATTAATTTTAAGTGAACACTTTTAAATGATAGTTTCGAATCAATTACATACCTTTTTTTAACATTTAATATACTGAAATATCGACGAACCCTTTTACTCCTATCCATTATCATCCCGCTACCATTGTAATATTCGATTGGAGACGGAAGTGATTTCATTTTAATGCTTTTAAGTTCTGTCAGAATAAAAGCCAGAATAATTTGTGAATAACTTCATACATATGCAAAGATTCACCAGACGGAATTTCTACGAACGTCCAAGAAAATAGACGTAACATCATACATAAATTTTACGTTTTAAATGATAAAATAAATTTAATCCGTTTCTGATTTTTATTTATCGAGGGAATATTTCTGTGGCTCTACAGTAAAAGCATTTATTTAAGTGTTTTTTTAGGAGAGCTTTTTGAATAATTTACTAATTTTGTTTCAGGTCTTACATTTGTTTTTCTACTCTCTTACTAGTAAATTGTATATTACCTACTATTTGGATGCTAAGTAAATGCATCATAACAGATACTGGCGCGTAATGACTAGCACGTAATAATAGTATATTACATAACGAGAGTTGTAAGAAGCTTATTACATGCGAGTAAAAAAGTTGCGCGCGAGCCGCGTAGCGGCGAGCGCAGTAATTTTACAAGCATGTAATAAACTTACAACTCAAGTTGTGTACTATACTTTTTCTACGATTATTTTCGTTTATAAAAATAAAAATTAAATTACCACTACATATATTATTTACACTGACAGATTAATAATTTTTAATCTGTCAAAATAACGTCTGTTAATTCGTTTCCAGGGTAACTCGACCAACTGACTTACGAGGCTTATGTGATATTACACATTTTTATAGAACTGAAGCGTTATTTTTGTTGTTACGTGCTAGTCATTACGTGTCAGTATGTGTTATGATGCATTTACTTAGCATCCAAATAGTAGGTAATATACAATTTACTAGTAAGAGGGTAGAAAAAAAATTACGCTTCAGTTTTATAAAAATGTGTAATATCACATAAGCCTCGTAAGTCGGTTGGTCGAGTCACTATGGAAACGAATTAACAGACGTTATTTTGACAGATTAAAAATTATTAATCTGTCAGTGTAAATATAATGGTAATTTAATTTTTGTTTTTATAAACGAAAATAATCGTAGAAAAAATATAGTACACAACTTAAGTTGTAAGCTTATTACATGCTTGTAAAATTACTGCGTTCGCCGCTACGCGGCTCGCGCGCAACTTTTTTACTTGCATGTACTAAGCTTCTTACAACTCTCGTTATGTAATATACTATTAATGAAATTTATTTTGTACGATTTTTTAATTAAAGTTTTTGTATTCATAATTAGGTAAGAATATAAAGTAAGTAATATAAATTTATTTTAGGGTATTTTTGTGCAAAAAATTTAACTTATCAACATAAACCATATATTTAGGGCTCTATTTTGGACATATCAATGTCGTATTCATACCCTGAAAGAAAAGCTAGAGGAAGTGCATGAGATTCAGATTTCTATTGCTACACTTCATAGAGTTTTAAAAGAACTAAAATTTAGATAAGTAAATTGTAGTATTTCTAACAGAAAATATTTATTGGAACAACCACATGTAACCGTAAAAAGACTCCAGTTTTTGAAAGAATATAAACAGAATTAAAACGATTTACACTCCTTAAAACCAGTTTTCTTGGATGATACCTGGATATTCCGTAAAGGATGATTCCGAAAGAAATGTGTTATGCAGTCATAAATAACAGTGAAGAAGGTATAGAATACATTGTTCTTTATGCAGGTTCTGAAATTGGGTTTATTGGTAACTGTGAATTAATTTTCAAAAGTGGAAGTAAATCTGGTGTATACAATGACTCAATGAATTCTATTAATTTTTGAAAATTGGTTTGAGCATCAGCTTTTACCACATTCAGAAGAAGCATAATTTATTATAATGGACAGTAAATCATACCATGAAACTTGGGATATAATACCAAATACAAGTTGGGTAAAACATTCTTTAATAAAATCGTTGAAACCAACATATTAATTGTTCAATGACTATCATAAACTTTAAGGTAATGGATATTGTAACTAAGCATCTACCAGATAAAGTATTTAAGTACGTTTTAGAATGTATCTCTTAAATGGCAATTTTTTATACATTGTTTTATATATTGGATCGACTGACTTTTCACTACGACCGTCTTGCTTAGAGACTACCATAGATAAACAATATAATAGAGACTACCACCATATGATTGTCAACTCAATCCAATAGAGATTATTTGGTCTACTGTCGTTTTAAATGAAACCACAGTTTTAAATTTGAGCCAAAATCTGATATCAATTTAACGTATCAGTACAATAAATTAATAATATTCTAAGTCTGGTCAGGTTTTGTTATAACATGCACTAGATATTTATAGACACATGGTACGAAGAGGCCAATTTCAGCAAAAAAACTGGGATCACGTAGAAGCACAGAATTATAAGATATGCATCTTATACAAAGTTTTATAATAACTAAATTATGAAAAAGAAGAAAAAGTAATGTCAAAATGACACTTTAAAAATTATTAGTAAAAATGACTCTATTTTCAGGCCACATTCTCAAAATTCTCAGTAATGTACGGCAAACAATCTATTGCAGATATAGTTCTCGGGCAACCAAAAAATCTAAGAAAGCAACTGATAAATTTTCCCAATACTTAATTTTAAAAGCATGTATAAATGACTATCCCAAAATACTAGAAAGTATGCACCAGTATTACTATAATTTTGAACCTACGTGTTACTCTATAGGTAAGTAAAATATAGTTTCCAAATATTTCAAAACTTATAACGGTAATTGCCATATTAAAAAAAAAACTGTCTAGGTGATCGCAAAAAAATACTTGAACATTTTCTGTTAACAGCATTTTGGTTATATGCATATTAAAGACAATTACCAGAATAAAAAAATTTAATTTTAAAACTTTTTTATACGTATTTATATAGGACTCTATTGGAACTTTTCTACTTTGTAAGCACCATGTATCCACCACAGTGGTTTCAGAATAGGTAGCGATACAAAATGTAATTTTTGTACCTTAGAGTACGTTGCACATTTTTTTATGGCTATTTGTCTGATGTTTTTTTTTTATTTACAAATTCGCATCAACCCGAAGGTTATTAGCGAGAATCAGATTTACAATATTAAATATATTATATATTAACAAAATTAATAGCTTGTAGTTTAACCTATTTATGAATGAACAATTTGCACCAAGTGCTTTCTCTAAGTTTATTGAGATACTATAATTGATTCTTGCTGTGGCGAAAACTGGACAGTCTACAACATGTTTTACCAAGAGTTTAACATTACACTGCTCACATTTTGGTTCGGATTCTTTAGTAATTAGAAATTTGTGCGTGGCACTGGAATGACCTAATCTAAGACGAGTTATTGTCACTTGATCCCTTCTTTTAGTGGGGAAACATCTCCATGGTTTAATGTCCGGTTTAATATTCCGAAGATTGGACACTGAAAATTCCCACCGGTTTTGCCACTCACTTAGGATCCGCGATTTGATAGCACTTGAAACATCACTAGCTATCACGTATTTCACAATAATAGAGTTACCTGAATTGACGGCTTCACGCGCACACTTATCTGCTTCTTTATTACCTCTAGTACCATTATGTAATGGGATCCAAATAAAGAGATTACCTCCTTATTACAATTTTTTATCTCTATCAGATTTTGTTTTATTTTTTCAAGAATATGATTCTCTGGGTATATTCTTTCTATAGATTGTAGTGAGTTTAGTGAACCAGTCAAAATTATATATATCTGATTTGGTGAGGATATAATATATGTGAGTGCCTCGTATATGGCATATATTTTTGCATTAAGAGTACCATAGTGCATTGGCAACTTATATTTTTGACACGTATTAGAGGATTTAACTGCTGCTCCCACGCCATCTGTTGATTTTGAAGCATCTGTATAAATTTGAGAGAAATTTGTATACTTTGATAATAAGTTTTGCAGATTTTGATGTATTTTACTATGGTTAGTAGTGTGTTTGTCCAATGATGTTAGGGTAGTTATTATTTTAGGTACTCTTAAAGTCCATGGTGCAGCAGGTTCAAAACTAACGGGAAAGCAAGGAGGTAAGGTGGTGTTCGGAGATGAGAGATCCATTTTGATTCGGTGGTAGAAAGGTTTATGTAGACGTGGTTTATTGGAGAAACATGTTGATAATCGGTTAAAGTTATCATATTTGAAGGTGTGGTGGTTAGGATGTGTACTGAATCTAAAATTTTAAGGGAAGACGCAGTAGCCGATGAATATGCCATCGCGCCATAGTCTAATTTAGATCTGATTAGAGTTCTGTAGAGAGAGAGAGAGAGAGAGAGAGAGAGAGAGTCTGATGTTTATTTGTATTTATTTGCTCTTAATTCTTAAAACTACGGAAAATAGGGGTTTAAAAAAAACCGTTAGAGAAATTTTGATGCAGAGGATTTTACCCAAGGGGAAGACAATTATGATTACTGATAATCTTCTAAAAAATTAAAAGGCATAGATCGAGAAAATGTATCAAATGACCGAGAAGTAAAATTGGACTATGTGATAAAGAAAGAAAATCGTCTCGAGAAGTTAGAAATAAGTTGTAAGTGATAAAAAAGAAAATTGTTAAAAACTTCAAAGTAAAAGAAAGTGGCAAGATTAGAATTTTAACATATTTATTTAAATTTGACAAGACAAATGCTACTATTAAACCATGTCCAATATTTCGACATAACACCATATCACTTGTATACCATATGGTTGGTGACGACATTCTATAATTTATTCTTATATTTTTTATAAAGCAAAAAAAAGATATTGTAATATCCAGTATTGTAAAAACCAGAATACGTCGATTCTGCAATATGAAGATTTTAAATTTAATGCTTAAAATATTATTAAATTCACCATTTTCTCCATATCATTGTCCACTTTAAAGTTTTTTAAATACAACACTTGATATATAGTATTATAGCAACTGGAATGTTTGAAATTTTATAACTGACTTTTATGTATGTACTCTTTTTGGGTATATTAAGAAATGTAATTAATTTTTTACCTTTTTTCCAAGGTTATAAAATTTAGTTTATTTATTATTCATGCTATAAACGACATTTATAGTAAACTTACATTTCTCTTTATGTTCATAAGTCATTATAATAATGCTTTCGCTTTTTGCCGAAGCTTTCTTCACTGCTTTTTTGGCTGTGGACTCTTTTCACTATCCAGTAGTAGCCGTCAATTAGACCTGCGACGATTGTCTTCTAGTTTAAATGTCTTTTGTTAGAAAAACAGTAACAACTAATTTAAAAGAGGTCCATCCTACCTTTTGTTTTTATTTTATCCACAAACTTTCTAGATAAACTAGCCTTGGTTTTCTAATACCCGGTCCGCAAAGATTCTGTCATTTAGCTTTGTCGTGGATAAACCAGGAAACGATTCACAAAGGTATCTAAAATACTTTTGTTCTTTAGTCTTGACAAATTATTTCCTAATCCCCAACCTAATGTGAAGTAATGAAAGTAGTAACTTTTTGGGATTTTATCCAATGTGCAACGATAAGACTACCAAAGAGAATTGACATACTATTGTAAAAATAATACCTCAAGCAACCATGGGAGCTTATAGAGCTTAAACCTGAGTTCTTCTGATAACAAATAAACAAAATCTTAATTAAACATAGTTATTAAAAGAAATAAAAAACAATAATTGACCTTACCAAAGATTAATAATCAATTCGTGATACTTATTGCTTCGATGGGCTGCTTGTGTGTTGTAGATATTAGGTCCTCCAATTGAATATGGTGTCTTCTGGAGAGCTGCACTAACATATGTATGTAGGTCCTGACTAAGTTGCTGAGTGCTCAAATAATTAATAAATGGATATGGTCAATAAAATATCGATTTGGTTAATAAATTCTTCAAAATTATTTAATAAACTCAATAAATTCAATAAACCCAATAAAACAAACCCTGCAAAACGTTTCCTCTCAACATTTTTAACTACTTGTAAGCTTTCTCTCAAGGTCGAAGTTTTTTTAAGTAGTGTTGCTTTCTGTCTTTACTGTCTCATTCACAAAGAAAGCAAGGAGACTTTATATAGCCGCTTTGTTGACCAAACAGCATTGAAACCATCAATAAATCATCACATAGTGTTCATTTGTGTTCTGAATAGCAGAGTTTTCCTAAATACTATTCAAGGTTTTCGTAACGTTCACTAAAAGTGAACCAAGTGTTTAACTGGTATAAAAGCATATTTATTGCTATTGTGTAAAAGTACTGCTTTAAGGCTTCTTCTCCATGCATTAGAAGCATATTCTAGTTTAAATTCCAGAAATATCTCTGCAAAACCCCAGGTCATCTTTTTAAGAGAAGAAAGATACAAATTTATTTTCCCTACAATAATACTAAGAAAAGAATGTATCCGAATCCATATATTTAATTTACGATATAGATGTTACAACTTTTACCGATTCTTAAGAAAGGCCTAGTTCTTCTACTAAATCGTTCAGTTTAAATTGTGAGAATGGAATTGGATCGATTGTGCTAGGATCGTAGCAATCACTGGCTTTTTTATTATCACCTTACTAATCAAATCGCTCGTGATCGTGATAGATCCAAATAATATGAATGAGAGGGTATTTTCACGTCATGTCTAAGAGGTATAGGCCGAATGGCTGATTGAATGCTAGGATAAGAAATATTTTTTCCCTCAAATTGACACCACGTACATTATAAAAACAAAACTAACAGTCATCACTATAATTTTTGGTCTTCTTCCAAACCATATTTATTCCAAAACGCAAGGACTAGTTTTAACCTTAAAATCATTATCTCCGTTGCCTTAGTTCTTCAATATACACTGAACAAACATTGTGTGGGGCCCAAGACTTATCTTGATCGCATAACTTTATACCAAATTACGCGAAATGTACCTTTTAACGAAATCGTAAACCTTTCTTTGTTACTTTTTAAAAAAACCGTATAGTTACCTCAAGTGTAACATAAGCAATCTGACGAGTTTATACTTTCTCTGGTAGCCATTGTCCAATGTCTATGCAACACAATAACTTCACGATACAACAAAACAGTCACTACTTTAAAGCACTAGTAGCAACAACACGTGAACTGCACCAAGTCAAGAACCAATGAAAATTACCAACCCAGATGAAGCCTAATAGCGGTACCAGTTAAAAATAGGACTAAAGGTAGACCCAAGACTGCGGAGCAAATTGGCAATGGTTAACAATGAACAGAAATGACTGGCAAAATAGACTGAGAAAGGTCGAGGCCCAACTAGAACTGTAACATCACTGGTAAAGATGATAAAGATTTTCAATATGAAAATACCGACAAAAACGATAAAAGTTATATCGTTTAAAGATAAATATCTATTAAAACCAAAATAAAAACTGGAAAAAAATAAGTCATAGTAAGTCAAATGTTACGTGTTACACACTTTAAAAAAGATAGAGATATTGATTATAAAATCGACAATTCAGTACACTTATATATGTAGAACAATTCACGCGATATTAATAAACATAATTCTTCTTCTTTTTCTTCAGCCTTAAATAATCCACCTTTGGACATAAGCCTTTCCCAAAATAATCCAGTGTCTTCTATGTTGCGCCACTTGCTTCCAGTTGTGTCCTCCGATCTTCTTAATATCATCCGCCCATCTGATTTGTGGTCTTCCTCTGCTTCTCTTTCTTAACCATGGTCTCCATTGTTGTATTTCATGGTTCCA